GAAGGTGGGAGGATGAGGTGGGGTGATGGAAAGCGGGAGAATGGGGCGGGGTGATGGAAAGCGGGAGAATGGGGCGGGTTGATAGAAAGCAGGAGAATGGGGCGGGGTGATGGAAAACGGGAAAATGGGGCGGGGTGATGGAAAGCGGGAGAATGGGGCAGGGTGATGGAAGGCAGGAGAATGGGGAGGGGTGATGGAAAGCGGGAGAATGGGTGGTGTGATGGAATGCGGGAGAATGGGGCGGAGTGATGGAAAGCGGGAGAATGGGGCGGGGTGATGGAAGGAGGGAGAATGGGGCGGGGTGATCGAATGCGGGAGAATGGGGCGAGGTGGTGGAAAGATGGAGAATGGGGCGGGGTGATGGAAAGGAGGAGAATGGGGCGGGGTGATGTAAGGAGGGAGAATAGGGCGGGGTGATGGAAGGAGGGAGAATGGGGCGGGGTTATGGAAGGAGGGAGAATGGGGCGGGGTGATAGAAAGCGGGAGAATGGGGCGGGGTGATGGAAAGCGGGAGAATGGGACGGGGTGATGGAAAGCGGGAGAATGGGGCGGGGTGATAGAAAGCGGGAGAATGGGGCGGGGTGATGGAAAGCGGGAGAATGGGGCGGGGTGATGGAAAGCGGGAGAATGGGGCGGGGTTATGGAAAGCAGGAGAATATGGCGGGGTGATGGAAGGAGGGAGAACGGGGCGGGGTGATGGAAAGCGGGAGAATGGGGCGGGGTGATGGAAAGCGGGAGAATAGGGCGGGATGATGGAAAGCGGGAGAATGGGGAGGGGTGATGGAAAGAGGGAGAATGGGACGGGGTGATGAAAAGCGGAAGAATGGGGCGGGGCGATGGAAAGAGGAAGGATGGGGTGGGGTGATGGAAAGAGGGAGAATGGGGCGGGGTGATGAAAAGAGGGAGAATGGGGCGGGGTGATGGAAAGCGGGAGAATGGGGCGGGGTGATGGAAAGCGGGAGAATGGGGCGGGGTGATGGAAAGCGGGAGAATGGGGCGGGCTGATGTAAAGCGGGAGAATGGGGCGGGGTAATGGAAGGAGGGAGAATGGGGCGGGGTGATGGAAGGAGGGAGAATGGGGCGGGGTGATGGAAGGAGGGAGAATGGGGCGGGGTGATGGAAGGAGGGAGAATGGGGCGGGGTGATGGATAGCGGGAGAATGGGGCAAGGTGATGGAAAGCAGGAGAATGGGGCAGGGTGATGGAAAGCTGGAGAACGGGGCAGGGTGATGGAAAGCGGGAGAATGAGGCAGGGTAATGGAAAGCGGGAGAATGGGGCGGGGTGATGGAAAGCGGGAGAATGGGGCGGGGTGATGGAAAACGGGAGAATGGGGCGGGGTGATGGAAGGAGGGAGAATGAGGTGGGGTAATGGAAGGAGGGAGAATGGGGCGGGGTGATGGAAGGAGGGAGAATGGGGCGGGGTGATGGAAAGCAGGAGAATGGGGCGGGGTGATGGAAAGCAGGAGAATGGGGCGGGGTGATGGAAAGAGGGAGAATGGGGCAGGGTGATGAAAAGCGGAAGAATGGGGTGGGTTGATGGAAGGAGGGAGAATGGGGCGGGGTGATGGAAAGCGGGAGAATGGGGCGGGGTGATGGAAAGCGGGAGAATAGGGCGGGATGATGGAAAGCGGGAGAATGGGGAGGGGTGATGGAAAGAGGGAGAATGGGACGGGGTGATGAAAAGCGGAAGAATGGGGCGGGGCGATGGAAAGAGGAAGGATGGGGTGGGGTGATGGAAAGAGGGAGAATGGGGCGGGGTGATGAAAAGAGGGAGAATGGGGCGGGGTGATGGAAAGCGGGAGAATGGGGCGGGTTGATGGAAAACGGGAGAATGGGGCGGGGTGATGGAAAGCGGGAGAATGGGGCGGGCTGATGTAAAGCGGGAGAATGGGGCGGGGTAATGGAAGGAGGGAGAATGGGGCGGGGTGATGGAAGGAGGGAGAATGGGGCGGGGTGATGGAAGGAGGGAGAATGGGGCGGGGTGATGGAAGGAGGGAGAATGGGGCGGGGTGATGGATAGCGGGAGAATGGGGCAAGGTGATGGAAAGCAGGAGAATGGGGCAGGGTGATGGAAAGCTGGAGAACGGGGCAGGGTGATGGAAAGCGGGAGAATGAGGCAGGGTAATGGAAAGCGGGAGAATGGGGCGGGGTGATGGAAAGCGGGAGAATGGGGCGGGGTGATGGAAAACGGGAGAATGGGGCGGGGTGATGTAAGGAGGGAGAATGAGGTGGGGTAATGGAAGGAGGGAGAATGGGGCGGGGTGATGGAAGGAGGGAGAATGGGGCGGGGTGATGGAAAGCAGGAGAATGGGGCGGGGTGATGGAAAGCAGGAGAATGGGGCGGGGTGATGGAAAGAGGGAGAATGGGGCAGGGTGATGAAAAGCGGAAGAATGGGGTGGGTTGATGGAAGGAGGGAGAATGGGGCGGGGTGATGGAAAGCGGGAGAATGGGGCGGGGTGATGGAAAGCGGGAGAATAGGGCGGGATGATGGAAAGCGGGAGAATGGGGAGGGGTGATGGAAAGAGGGAGAATGGGACGGGGTGATGAAAAGCGGAAGAATGGGGCGGGGCGATGGAAAGAGGAAGGATGGGGTGGGGTGATGGAAAGAGGGAGAATGGGGCGGGGTGATGAAAAGAGGGAGAATGGGGCGGGGTGATGGAAAGCGGGAGAATGGGGCGGGGTGATGGAAAACGGGAGAATGGGGTGGGGTTATGGAAAGCGGGAGAATGGGGCGGGGTGATGGAAAGCGGGAGAATGGGGCGGGATGATGGAAAGAGGGAGAAAGGGGCGGGGTGATGGAAAGCGGGAGAATGGGGCGGGGTGATGGAAAGCGGGAGAATCGGGCGGGGTGATGGAAAGCGGGAGAATGGGGCGGGGTGATGGAAAGCGGGAGAATGGGGCGGGGTGATGGAAAGCGGGAGAATGGGGCGGGGTGATGGAAAGCGGGAGAATGGGGCGGGGTGATGGAAAGCTTGAGAATAGGGCGGGGTGATGGAAAGCGGGAGAATGGGGCGGAGTGATGGAAAGCGGGAGAACGGGGCAGGGTGATGGAAAGCGGGAGAATGGGGCGGGGTGATGGAAAGCGGGAGAATGGGGCGGGGTGATGGAAAGCGGGAGAATGGGGCGGGGTGATGAAAAGCGGAAGAATGGGGCGGGGTGAAGAAAAGCGGGAGAATGGGGCGGGCTGATGGAATGAGGGGGAATGGGGCGGGGTGATGGAAAGAGGGAGAATGGGGCAGGGTGATGAAAAGCGGAAGAATGGGGTGGGTTGATGGAAAGAGGGAGAATGGGGCGGGGTGAAGAAAAGCGGGAGAATGGGGCGGGTTGATGGAAAGAGGGAGAATAGGGCGGGGTGAATGGGGCGGGGTGATGGAAAGCGGAAGAATGGGGCGGGGTGATGGAAAGCGGGAGAATGGGGCGGGGTGATGGAAAGCGGGAGAATGGGGCGGGGTGATGGAAAGCGGGAGAATGGGGCGGGGTGATGGAAAGCGGGAGAATGGGGCGGGGTGATGGAAAGCGGGAGAATAGGGCGGGATGATGGAAAGCGGGAGAATGGGAGGGGTGATGGAAAGAGGGAGAATGGGACGGGGTGATGAAAAGCGGAAGAATGGGGCGGGGCGATGGAAAGAGGAAGGATGGGGTGGGGTGATGGAAAGAGGGAGAATGGGGCGGGGTGATGAAAAGAGGGAGAATGGGGCGGGGTGATGGAAAGCGGGAGAATGGGGCGGGGTGATGGAAAACGGGAGAATGGGGTGGGGTGATGGAAAGCGGGAGAATGGGGCGGGGTGATGGAAAGCGGGAGAATGGGGCGGGATGATGGAAAGAGGGAGAAAGGGGCGGGGTGATGGAAAGCGGGAGAATGGGGCGGGGTGATGGAAAGCGGGAGAATGGGGCGGGGTGATGGAAAGCGGGAGAATGGGGCGGGGTGATGGAAAGCGGGAGAATGGGGCGGGGTGATGGAAAGCGGGAGAATGGGGCGGGGTGATGGAAAGCGGGAGAATGGGGCGGGGTGATGGAAAGCGGGAGAATGGGGCGGGGTGATGGAAAGCTTGAGAATAGGGCGGGGTGATGGAAAGCGGGAGAATGGGGCAAAGTGATGGAAAGCGGGAGAACGGGGCAGGGTGATGGAAAGCGGGAGAATGGGGCGGGGTGATGGAAAGCGGGAGAATGGGGCGGGGTGATGGAAAGCGGGAGAATGGGGCGGGGTGATGAAAAGCGGAAGAATGGGGCGGGGTGAAGAAAAGCGGGAGAATGGGGCGGGCTGATGGAATGAGGGGGAATGGGGCGGGGTGATGGAAAGAGGGAGAATGGGGCAGGGTGATGAAAAGCGGAAGAATGGGGTGGGTTGATGGAAAGAGGGAGAATGGGGCGGGGTGAAGAAAAGCGGGAGAATGGGGCGGGTTGATGGAAAGAGGGAGAATAGGGCGGGCTGAATGGGGCGGGGTGATGGAAAGCGGAAGAATGGGGCGGGGTGATGGAAAGCGGGAGAATGGGGCGGGGTGATGGAAAGCGGGAGAATGGGGCGGGGTGATGGAAAGCGGGAGAATGGGGCGGGGTGATGGAAAGCGGGAGAATGGGGCGGGGTGATGGAAAGCGGGAGAATCGGGCGGGTTGATGGAAAGCGGGAGAATGGGGCGGGGTGATGGAAAGCTGGAGAATGGGGCGGGGTGATGGAAAGCGGGAGAATGGGGCGGGGTGATGGTAAGCTGGAGAATGGGGCGGGGTGATGGAAAGCGGAAGAATGGGGCGGGGTGATGGAAATAGGGAGGATGGGGCAGGGTGATGGAAAGAGGGAGCATGGGGCAGGGTGATGGAAATAAGGAGAATGGGGCGGGGTGATGGAAAGAGGGAGACTGGGGCAGGGTGATGGAAAGAGGGAGAATGGGGCGGGGTGATGGAAAGCGGGAGAATGGGGCGGGGTGACGGCAAGCGGGAGAATGGGGCGGGGTGATGGAAAGTGGGAGAATGGAGCGGGGTGATGGAAATAGGGAGAATGGGCCGGGGTGATGGAAAGCGGGAGAATGGGGCGGGGTGGTGGAAAGAGGGAGAATGGGGCGGGGTGATGAAAAGAGGGAGAATGGGACGGGGTGATGGAAAGCGGGAGAATGGGGCGGGGTGATGGAAAGCGGGAGAATAGGGCAGGGGTGATGGAAAGCAGGAGAATGGGGCAGGGTGATGGAAAACGGGAGAATGGGCCGGGGTGATGGAAAGCGGGAGAATAGGGCGGGGTGATGGAAAGCGGGAGAATGGGGCGGGGTGATGGAATGCAGGAGAATGGGGCGGGGTGATGGAAAGCTTGAGAATGGGGCGAGGTGATGGAAAGCGGGAGAATGGGGCGGGGTGATGGAAAACGGGAGAATGGGGTGGGGTGATGGAAAGCGGGAGAATGGGGCGGGGTGATGGAAAGCGGGAGAATGGGGCGGGGTGATGGAAAGAGGGAGAAAGGGGCGGGGTGATGGAAAGCGGGAGAATGGGGCGGGGTGATGGAAAGCGGGAGAATGGGGCGGGGTGATGGAAAGCGGGAGAATGGGGCGGGGTGATGGAAAGCGGGAGAATGGGGCGGGGTGATGGAAAGCGGGAGAATGGGGCGTGGTGATGGAAAGCGGGAGAATGGGGCGGGGTGATGGAAAGCTTGAGAATAGGGCGGGGTGATGGAAAGCGGGAGAATGGGGCGGAGTGATGGAAAGCGGGAGAACGGGGCAGGGTGATGGAAAGCGGGAGAATGGGGCGGGGTGATGGAAAGCGGGAGAATGGGGCGGGGTGATGGAAAGCGGGAGAATGGGGCGGGGTGATGAAAAGCGGAAGAATGGGGCGGGGTGAAGAAAAGCGGGAGAATGGGGCGGGCTGATGGAAAGAGGGGGAATGGGGCGGGGTGATGGAAAGAGGGAGAATGGGGCAGGGTGATGAAAAGCGGAAGAATGGGGTGGGGTGCTGGAAAGAGGGAGAATGGGGCGGGGTGAAAAAAAAGCGGGAGAATGGGGCGGGTTGATGGAAAGAGGGAGAATGGGGCGGGGTGAATGGGGCGGGGTGATGGAAAGCGGAAGAATGGGGCGGGGTGATGGAAAGCGGGAGAATGGGGCGGGGTGATGGAAAGCGGGAGAATGGGGCGGGGTGATGGAAAGCGGGAGAATGGGGCGGGGTGATGGAAAGCTGGAGAATGGGGCGGGGTGATGGAAAGCGGGAGAATGGGGCGGGGTGATGGTAAGCTGGAGAATGGGGCGGGGTGATGGAAAGCGGAAGAATGGGGCGGGGTGATGGAAATAGGGAGGATGGGGCGGGGTGATGGAACGAGGGAGCATGGGGCAGGGTGATGGAAATAGGGAGAATGGGGCGGGGTGATGGAAAGCGGGAGAATGGGGCGGGGTGATGGAAGCGGGAGAATGAGGCGGGATGATGGAAAGCGGGAGAATGGGGTGGGGTGATGGAAGGAGGGAGATTGGGGCGGGGTGATGGAAAGCGGGAGAAGGGGGCGAGGTGATGGAAAGCGGGAGAATAGGGCGGGGCTATGGAGTGCGGGAGACTGGGGCGGGGTGAGGGAAAGCGGGAGAATGGGGCGGGGTGATGGAAAGCGGGAGAACGGGGCGGGGTGATGGAAAGCGAGAGAATGGGGCGGGGTGTTGGAAAGCGGGAGAATGGGGTGGGGTGATGGAAAGCGGGAGAATGGTTTGGGGTGATGGGAAGGAGGGAGAATGGGGCCGGGTGATGGAAGGTGGGAGGATGGGGCGGGGTGATGGAAAGCGGGAGAATGGGGCGGGGTGATGGAAAGCGGGAGAATGGGGCGGGGTGATGGAAAGCGGGAGAATGGGGCGGGGTGGTGGAAAGCGGGAGAATGGGGCGGGGTGATGGAAAGCAGGAGAATGGGGCGGGGTGATGGAAAACGGGAAAATGGGGCGGGGTGATTGAAAGCGGGAGAATGGGGCGGGGTGATGGAAGGCAGGAGAATGGGGCGGGGAGATGGAAGGAGGAAGAATGGGGTGGGTTGATGGAAAGAGGGAGATTGGGGCGGGGTGATGGAAAGCAGGAGAATGGGGCGGGGCGATGATAAGCGGGAGAATGGGGCGGAGTGATGGAAAGCGGGAGAATGGGGCGGGGTGATGGAAAGCGGGAGAATGGGGCAGGGTGATGGGAGAATGGGGCGGGGTGATGGAAAGCGGGAGAATGGGGCGGGGTGATGGAAAGCGGGAGAATGGGGCGGGGTGATGGAAAGTGGGAGAATGGGGCGGGGTGATGAAAAGCGGGAGAATGGGGCGGGGTGATGGAAAGCGGGAGCATGGGGCGGGGTGATGGAAGGAGGTAGAATGAGGCGGGGTGATGGAAGGAGGGAGAATGGGTCGGGGTGATGGAAAGCGGGAGAATGGGGCGGGGTGATGGAAGGAGGGAGAATGGGGCGGGGTGATGGAAAGCGGGAGAATGGGGCGGGGTGATGGAAAGCTGGAGAATGGGGCGGGGTGATGGAAAGCGGGAGAATGGGGCGGGGTGATGGAAAGCGGGAGAATGGGGCGGGCTGATGTAAAGCGGGAGAATGGGGCGGGGTAATGAAAGGAGGGAGAATGGGGCGGGGTGATGGAAGGAGGGAGAATGGGGCGGGGTGATGGAAGGAGGGAGAATGGGGCGGGGTGATGGAAGGAGGGAGAATGGGGCGGGGTGATGGATAGCGGGAGAATGGGGCAAGGTGATGGAAAGCAGGAGAATGGGACAGGGTGATGGAAAGCTGGAGAACGGGGCAGGGTGATGGAAAGCGGGAGAATGAGGCAGGGTAATGGAAAGCAGGAGAATGGGGCGGGGTGATGGAAAGCGGGAGAATGGGGCGGGGTGATGGAAAACGGGAGAATGGGGCGGGGTGATGGAAGGAGGGAGAATGAGGTGGGGTAATGGAAGGAGGGAGAATGGGGCGGGGTGATGGAAGGAGGGAGAATGGGGCGGGGTGATGGAAAGCAGGAGAATGGGGCGGGGTGATGGAAAGCAGGAGAATGGGGCGGGGTTATGGAAAGAGGGAGAATGGGGCGGGGTGATGGAAAGTGGGAGAATGGGGCGGGGTGATGGAAAGCGGGAGAATGGGGCGGGGTAATGGAAAGCGGGAGAATGGGGCGGGGTGATGGAAGGAGGGAGAATGAGGCGGGGTGATGGAAGCAGGGAGAATGGGGCCGGGTGATGGAAAGCGGGTGAATGGGGCGTTGTGATGGGAAGCGGGAGAATGGGGCGGGGTGATGGAGAGCGGGAGAATGGGGCGGGGTGATGGAAAGCGGGAGAATGGGACGGGGTTATGGGAAGCGGGAGAATGGGGCGGGGTGATGGAAAGCGGGAGAATGGGGCGGGGTGATGGAAGGAGGGAGAATGGGGCGGGGTGATGGAAGGAGGGAGAATGGGGCGGGGTGATGGAAGGAGGAAGAAGGGGGCGGGGTGATGGAAAGCGGGAGAATGGGGCGGGGAGATGGAAAGCGGGAGAAAGGGGCAGGGTGATGGAAAGCGGGAGAATGGGGCGGGCTGATGGAAAGCGGGAGAATGGGGCGGGGTGATGGAAGGAGGGAGAATGGGGCGGGGTGATGGAAGGAGAGAGAAGGGGGCGGGGTGATGGAAAGTGGGAAAATGTGGCGGGGTGATGGAAACCGGGAGAATGGGGTGGGGTTATGGGAAGCGGGAGAATGGGGCGGGGTGATGGAAAGCAGGAGAATTGAGCGGGGTGATGGAATGAGGGAGAATGGGGCGGGGTGATGGAAGGAGGGAGAATGGGGCGGGGTGATAGAAAGCGGGAGAATGGGGCGGGGTGATGGAAGGAGGGAGAATGGGGCGGGGTGATGGAAAGCGGGAGAATGGGGCGGGGTGATGGAAAGCGGGAGAATGGGGCGGGGTGATGGAAAGCGAGAGAATGGGGCGGGGTGATGGAAGGAGGGAGAATGGGGAGGGGTGATGGAAAGCGGGGGAATGGGGCGGGATGATGGGAAGCGGAAGAATGGGGCGGGGTGATGGAAAGCGGGAGAATGGGGCGGGGTGATGGAAAGCGGGAGAATGGGGTGGGGAGATGGAAATCGGGAGAAAGGGGAGGGGTGATGGAAAGCGGGAGAATGGGGCGGGCTGATGAAGAGCGGGAGAATGGGGTGGGGTGATGGAAGGAGGGAGAATGGGGCGGGGTGATGGAAGGAGAGAGAAGGGGGCGGGGTGATGGAAAGTGGGAGAATGTGGCGGGGTGATGGAAAGCGGGAGAATGGGGTGGGGTTATGGGAAGCGGGAGAATGGGACGGGGTGATGGAAAGCGGGAGAATGGGGCGGGGTGATGGAAGGAGGGAGAATGGGGCGGGGTGATGGAAGGAGGGAGAATGGGGCGGAGTGATGGAAAGCGGGAGAATGGGGCGGGGTGATGGAAGGAGGGAGAATGGGGCGGGATGATGGAAAGCGGGAGAATGGGGCGGGGTGATGGAAAGCGCGAGAATGGGGCGGGGTGATGGAAAGCGGGAGAATGGGGCGGGGTGATGGAAAGCGGGAGAATGGGGCGGGGTGATGGAAAGCGGGAGAATGGGGCGGGGTGATGGAAGGAGGGAGACTGGGGCGGGGTGATAGAAAGCGGGAAAATGTGGCGGGGTGATGGAAAGCGGGAGAATGGGGTGGGGTGATGGGAAGCGGGAGAATGGGGCGGGGTGATGGAAAGCGGGAGAATGGGGCGGGCTGATGGAAAGCGGGAGAATGGGGCGGGGTGATGGAAGGAGGGAGAATGGGGCGGGGTGATGGAAGGAGGGAGAAGGGGGCGGGGTAATGGAAAGCGGGAGAATGGGGCGGGGTGATGGAAAGCGGGAGAATGGGGCGGGGTGATGGAAAGCAGGAGAATGGGGCGGAGTGATGGAAAGCTTGAGAATGGGGCGGGGTGATGGAAAGCGGGAGAATGGGGCGGAGTGATAGAAAGCGGGAGAATGGGGCGGGGTGATGTAAGGAGGGAGAATAGGGCGGGGTGATGGAAGGAGGGAGAATGGGGCGGGGTGATGGAAGGAGGGAGAATGGGGCGGGGTGATAGAAAGCGGGAGAATGGGGCGGGGTGATGGAAAGCGGGAGAATGGGACGGGGTGATGGAAAGCGGGAGAATGGGGCGGGGTGATAGAAAGCGGGAGAATGGGGCGAGGTGATGGAAAGCGGGAGAATGGGGCGGGGTGATGGAAAGCGGGAGAATGGGGCGGGGTTATGGAAAGCGGGAGAATAAGGCGGGGTGATGGAAAGAGGGAGAATGGGGCGGGGTGATGGAAAGCGGGAGAATGGGGCGGGGTGATGGAAAGCGGGAGAATGGGGCGGGATGATGGAAAGCGGGAGAATGGGGAGGGGTGATGGAAAGAGGGAGAATGGGACGGGGTGATGAAAAGCGGAAGAATGGGGCGGGGCGATGGAAAGAGGAAGGATGGGGTGGGGTGATGGAAAGAGGGAGAATGGGGCGGGGTGATGAAAAGAGGGAGAATGAGTTGTCCACGGGAGAATGGGAGAATGGGGCAGTTGGGAGTGATGGGTCATAAGCGGGAGCTGAGACTCCGAATCATACACCCCGTGGACAACTCATTCTCCCGTCATGACATGTCCCGCGGGGTGATGGAAAGCGGGAGAATGGGGCGGGGTGATGGAAGGAGGAAGAATGGGGCGGGGTGATGGAAAGCGGGAGAATGGGGCGGGGTGATGGAAAGCGGGAGAATGGGGCGGGGTGATGAAAAGCGGGAGAATGGGGCGGGATGATGGAAAGCGGGAGCATGGGGCGGGGTGATGGAAGGAGGTAGAATGAGGCGGGGTGATGGAAGGAGGGAGAATGGGGCGGGGTGATGGAAAGTGGGAGAATGGGGCGGGGTGATGGAAAGCGGGAGAAAGGGGCGGGGTGATGGAAAGCGGGATAATGGGACGGGCTGATAGAAAGTGGGAGAATGGGTTGGGGTGATGGAAGGAGGGAGAATGGGCCGGGGTGATGGAAAGCGAGAGAATGGGGCGGGGTGATGGAAAGCGGGAGAATGGGGCGGGGTGATGGAAAGAGGGAAAATGGCGCGGGGTGATGGAAAGCGGGAGAATGGGGCAGGGTGATGGAAGGAGGGAGAATGGGGCGGGGTGATGGAAAGCGGGAGAATGGGGCGGGGTGATGGAAAGCGGGAGAATGGGGTGGAGTGATGGAAAGCGGGAGAATGGGGCGGGGTGATGGAAAGTGGGAGAATGGGGCGGGGTGATGGAAAGCGGGAGTGGGGTGGGGTGATGGAAAGCGGGAGAATGGGGCGGGGTGATGGAAAGCGGGTGAATGGGGCGGGGTGATGGAGAGCGTGAGAATGGGGCGAGGTGATGGAAAGCGGGAGAATGGGGCGGGGTGATGGAGAGCGGGAGAATGGGGCGGGGTGATGGAAAGCAGGTGAATGGGGCGGGGTGATGGAAAGCGTGAGAATGGGGCGAGGTGATGGAAAGCGGGAGAATGGGGCGGGGTGATGGAGAGCGGGAGAATGGGGCTGGGTGATGGAAGGAGGGAGAATGGGGAGGGGTGACGGAAAGGAGCGGAATGGGGCGGGATTATGGGAAGCGGGAGAATGGGGCGGGGTGATGGAAAGCGGGAGAATGGGGCGGGGTTATGGAAAGCGGGAGAACGGGGCGGGGAGATGGAACGCGGGAGAATGGGGCGGGGTGATGGAAAGCGGGAGAATGGGGCGGGCTGATGGAAAGCGGGAGAAAGGGGCGGGGTGATGGAAGGAGGGAGAATGGGGCGGGGTGATGGAAGGAGGGAGAAGGGGGCGGGGTGATGGAAACCGGGAGAATGGGGCGGGGTGATGGAAAGCGGGAGAATGGGGGGAGGTGATGTAAAGCGGGAGAATGGGGCGGGTGATGGAATGCGGAAGAATGGGGTGGGGTGATGGAAAGCGGGAGAATGGGGCAGGGTGATGGAAATCGGGAGAATGGGGCGGGGTGATGGAATGCGGGAGAATGGGGCGGGGTGATGGAATGCGGGAGAATGGGGCGAGGTGATGGAAGGAGGGAGAATGGGGCGGGGTGATGGAAAGTGGAAGAATGTGGCGGGGTGATGGAAAGTGGTAGAATGGGGCGGGGTGATGGAAGGAGGGAGAATGGGGCGGGGTGATGAAAAGCGGGGGAATGGGGCTGGATGATGGAAAGCGGGAGAATGGGGCGGGGTGACGGAAAGAGGGAGAATGGGGCAGGGTGACGGAAATCGAGAGAATTGGGCGGGGTGATGGAAAGTGGGAGAATGGGTCGGGGTGATGGAAAGCGGGAGAATGGGGTGGGGTGATAGAAAGTGGGAGAATGGGGCGGGGTGATGGAAAGCGGGAGAATGGGGAGGGGTGAAGGAAAGCGGGAGAATGGGGCGGGGTGATGAAAAGCGGGAGAATGGGGTGGGGTGATGGAAAGCGGGAGAATGGGGCGGGGTGATGGAAAGCGGGAGAATAGGGCGGGGTGATGGAAAGCGGGAGACTGGGGTGGGGTGATGGAAAGCGGGAGAATGGGGCAGGTGATGGAAAGCAGGAGAATGGGGCGGGGTGATGGAAAGCGGGAGAATGGGGCGGGGAGATGGAAAGCGGGAGAATGGGGCGAGGTGATGGAAAGCGGGAGAATGGGGTGGGGTGATGGAAGGAGGGAGAATGGGGCAGGGTGATGGAAAGCGGGAGAATGGGGCGAGATGATGGGAAGCGGGAAAATGGGGCGGGGTAATGAAAAGCGGGAGAATGGTGCGGGGTGATGGAAAGCGGGAGAATGGGCGTGTGATGGAAAGCGGAGAATGGGGCGGGGTGATGGAGAGCGGGAGAATGGGGCGGGGTGATGGAAAGCAGGTGAATGGGGCGGGGTGATGGAAAGCGTGAGAATGGGGCGAGGTGATGGAAAGCGGGAGAATGGGGCGGGGTGATGGAGAGCGGGAGAATGGGGCTGGGTGATGGAAGAAGGGAGAATGGGGAGGGGTGACGGAAAGGAGCGGAATGGGGCGGGATTATGGGAAGCGGGAGAATGGGGCGGGGTGATGGAAAGCGGGAGAATGGGGCGGGGTTATGGAAAGCGGGAGAACGGGGCGGGGAGATGGAACGCGGGAGAATGGGGCGGGGTGATGGAAAGCGGGAGAATGGGGCGGGCTGATGGAAAGCGGGAGAAAGGGGCGGGGTGATGGAAGGAGGGAGAATGGGGCGGGGTGATGGAAGGAGGGAGAAGGGGGCGGGGTGATGGAAACCGGGAGAATGGGGCGGGGTGATGGAAAGCGGGAGAATGGGGGGAGGTGATGTAAAGCGGGAGAATGGGGCGGGTGATGGAATGCGGAAGAATGGGGTGGGGTGATGGAAAGCGGGAGAATGGGGCAGGGTGATAGAAATCGGGAGAATGGGGCGGGGTGATGGAATGCGGGAGAATGGGGCGGGGTGATGGAATGCGGGAGAATGGGGCGAGGTGATGGAAGGAGGGAGAATGGGGCGGGGTGATGGAAAGTGGAAGAATGTGGCGGGGTGATGGAAAGTGGTAGAATGGGGCGGGGTGATGGAAGGAGGGAGAATGGGGCGGGGTGATGAAAAGCGGGGGAATGGGGCTGGATGATGGAAAGCGGGAGAATGGGGCGGGGTGACGGAAAGAGGGAGAATGGGGCAGGGTGACGGAAATCGAGAGAATTGGGCGGGGTGATGGAAAGTGGGAGAATGGGTCGGGGTGATGGAAAGCGGGAGAATGGGGTGGGGTGATAGAAAGTGGGAGAATGGGGCGGGGTGATGGAAAGCGGGAGAATGGGGAGGGGTGAAGGAAAGCGGGAGAATGGGGCGGGGTGATGAAAAGCGGGAGAATGGGGTGGGGTGATGGAAAGCGGGAGAATGGGGCGGGGTGATGGAAAGCGGGAGAATAGGGCGGGGTGATGGAAAGCGGGAGACTGGGGTGGGGTGATGGAAAGCGGGAGAATGGGGCAGGTGATGGAAAGCAGGAGAATGGGGCGGGGTGATGGAAAGCGGGAGAATGGGGCGGGGAGATGGAAAGCGGGAGAATGGGGCGAGGTGATGGAAAGCGGGAGAATGGGGTGGGGTGATGGAAGGAGGGAGAATGGGGCAGGGTGATGGAAAGCGGGAGAATGGGGCGAGATGATGGGAAGCGGGAAAATGGGGCGGGGTAATGAAAAGCGGGAGAATGGTGCGGGGTGATGGAAAGTGGGAGAATGGGCGTGTGATGGAAAGCGGAGAATGGGGCGGGGTGATGGAAAGCGGGAGAATGGGGCGAGGTGATGGAAAGCGGGAGAATAAGGCGGGGTGATGGAAAGCGGGAGAATGGGGTGGGGTGATGGAAATTGGGAGAATAGGGCGGGGTGATGGATGGAGGGAGAATGGGGCGGGGTCATGGAAGGAGGGAGAATGGGGCAGGGTGATGGAAAGCAGGAGAATGGGGAGGGGTGATGGAAAGCAGGAGAATGGTGCGGGGTGATGGAGAGCACGAGAATGGGGCGGGGTGATGGAAAGCGGGAGAATGGGGTGGGGTGATGGGAAGAAGGGAGAATCGGGCAGGGTGATGGAAAGCAGGAGAATGGGGCAGGTTGATGGAAAGCGGGAGAATGGGGCAGGGTGATGGAAACCGGGAGAAAGGGGCGAGGTGATGGAAAGTGGTAGAATGGGGCGGGGTGATGGAAAGCGGGAGAATGGGGCGGGGTGATGGAAGGAGGGAGAATGGGGACGGGTGATAGAAAGCGGGAGAATGGGGCGGGTTGATGGGAATCGGGAGAATGAGGCGGGGTGATGGAAAGCGGGAGAATGGGGCGGCTGATGGAAAGCTGGAGAATGGGGCGGGGTGATGGAAAGCGGGAATATGGGGTGGGGTGATGGAAAGCGGGAGAATGGGGTGGGGTGATGGAAAGCGGGAGAATGGGGCGGGGTGATGGAAAGCGGGAGAATGGGGCGGGTTATGGAAAGCTGGAGAATGGGGCGGGGTGATGGAAAGCGGTGGAATGGGGCGGGCTGATAGAAAGCGGGAAAATGGGGCGAGGTGATGGAACGAGGGAGAATGGGGCGGGATGATGGAAGGAGGGAGAATGGGGCAGGGCGATGGAAGGAGGGAGAATGGGGCGGGCTGATGGAAAGTGGGAGAATGTGGCTGGGTGATAGAAAGCGGGAGAATGCGGCGGGGTGATGGAAAGCGGGAGAATGGGGCGGGGTGATGGAAAGCGGGAGAATGAGGCGGGGTGATGGAAGGAGGGAGAATGGGGCGGGGTGATGGAAAGCGGGAGAATGGGGCGGGGTGATGGAAAGCGGGAGAATGGGCCGGGGTGATGGGAAGCGGGAGAATGGGGCAGGGTGATGGAAATCGGGAGAATGGGGCGGGGTGATGGAAAGCGGGAGAATGGGGTGGAGTGATGGAAAGCGGGAGAATGGGGCGGGGTGATGGAAAGCTGGAGAATGGGGAGGGGTGATGGAAATCGGGAGAATGGGGCGGGGTGATGGAAAGCGGGAAAATGGGGCGGGGTGATAGAAAGCGGGAGAATGGGGCGGGGTGATGGAAAGAGGGAGAATGGGGCGGGGTGATGGAATGCGGGAGAATGGGGCGGGGTGATGGAAAGCGGGAGAATGGGGCGGGGTGATGGAAAGAGGGAGAATGGGGCGGGGTTATGGAAAGAGGGAGAATGAGGCGGGGTGATGGAAAGAGGGAGAATGGGGCGGGGTGATGGAAAGAGGTAGAATGGGGCAGAGTGATGGAAAGCGGGAGAATGGGGCGGGGTGATGGAAAGCGAGAGAATGGGGTGGGGTGATGGAAAGCGGGAGAATGGGACGGGGTGATGGAAAGAGGGAGAATGGGGCCGGGTGATGGAAAGCGGGAGAATAGGGCGGGGTGATGGAAAGCGGGAGAATGGGGCGGGGTGATGGAAAACGGGGGAATGGGGCGGGGTGATGGAAAGCGGGAGAGATTCTGCTCAACTGCATCGACTGTGGGATGGGATGATGAGACTGGTGGTTGAAACCTGGTGATTGGTAATAAACGTGTTATTTCCAGACGTCTCAAAGTAACTCTTTCATCACGTGGCTGGTGAGATGAAAGTAACTCTTTCATCAGATGGTGAGATGAAAGTTATTATTCGTCAGATCGTGAGATGAAAGTAACTCTTTGAACAGGTGGTGAGATGAAAGTAACTCTTCCATCAGATGGTGAGATGAAAGTAACTCTTTCGTCAGATAGTGAGATGAAAGTTATTATTCATCAGATGGTGAGATGAAAGTAACTCTTTCATAAGATGGTGAGATGAAAGTAACTCTTTCATCAGATGGTGAGATGAAAGTAACTCTTTCATCAGATGGTGAGATGGAAGTTATTATTCATCAGATGGTGAGATGAAAGTAACTCTTTCATCAGATGGTGAGATGAAAGTACCTCTTTCATCAGATGGTGAGATGAAAGTACCTCTGTCATCAGATGGTGAGATGAAAGTACCTCTGTCATCACGTGCCTGGTGTCCTCCGATCCGCAGTGAGTTTCCCTGTCATCGCCACGGGCTCATTTTCCTCATGTACTTGCCCCCCTTCCCCCTCCTCCCTCTGCTGGTCGGGGCCAAGGCTTTTGACCTTGACCTGGTGGGCCTGGTGTCGTCAAGCCCTCAAGCCTTCAAGCCTTCAAGCCCTCAAGCCCTCAAGCCCTAAAGCCTTCAAGCCTTCAAGCCTTCAAGCCTTCAAGAATTCAAGCCTTCAAGCCCTCAAGCCCTCAAGCCCTCAAGCCCTCAAGCCCTCAAGCCCTCAAGCCCTCAAGCCCTCAAGCCCTGAAGCCCTCAAGCATTCAAGCCTTCAAGCCTTCAAGCCTTCAAGCCCTCAACCCATCAAGCCTTCAAGCCCTCAAGCCCTCAAGCCCTCAAGCCCTTAAGCACTCAAGCCCTCAAGCCTTCAAGCCTTCAAGCCCTCAAGCCCTCAAGCCTACAAGCCTTCAAGCCCTCAAGCCCTCAAGCCTTCAAGCCTTCAAGCCCTCAAGCCTTCAAGCCTTCAAGCCTTCAAGCCCTCAAGCCCTCACGCCCTCACGCCCTCAAGCCCTCAAGCCTTCAAGCCCTCACGTTCTCAAGCCCTCAAGCCTTCAAGCCCTCAAGCCTTCAAGCCATCAAGCACTCAAGCCTTCAAGCCCTCAAGCCCTCAAGCCTTCAAGCCTTCAAGCCCTCAAGCCCTCAAGCCTACAAGCCTTCAAGCCCTCAAGCCCTCAAGCCTTCAAGCCTTCAAGCCCTCAAGCCTTCAAGCCTTCAAGCCTTCAAGCCCTCAAGCCCTCAAGCCCTCAAGCCTTCAAGCCCTCAAGCCCTCAAGCCCTCAAGCCCCCAAGCCCTCAAGCCTTCAAGCCTTCAAGCCTTCAAGCCTTCACGCCCTCAAGCCCTCAAGCCCTCAAGCCCTCAAGCCCTCAAGCCCTCAAGCCCTCAAGCCTTCAAGCCTTCAAGACTTCAAGCCTTCAAGCCCTCAAGCCCTCAAGCCTTCAAGCCTTCAAGCCTTCAAGCCTTCAAGCCCTCAAGCCCTCAAGCCCTGAAGCCCTCAAGCATTCAAGCCTTCAAGCCTTCAAGCCTTCAAGCCCTCAACCCATCAAGCCTTCAAGCCCTCAAGCCCTCAAGCCCTCAAGCCCTTAAGCACTCAAGCCCTCAAGCCTTCAAGCCTTCAAGCCTTCAAGCCTTCAAGCCTTCAAGTCCTCAAGCCCTCAAGCCCTCAAGCCTTCAAGCCCTCAAGCCCTCAAGCCTTCAAGCCTTCAAGCCTTCAAGCCTTCAAGCCTTCAGGCCCTCAAGCCCTCAAGCCTTCAAGCCCTCAAGCCCTCAAGCCCTCAAGCCTTCAAGCCTTCAAGCCTTCAAGCCTTCAAGCCCTCAAGCCATCAAGCCTTCAAGCCCTCAAGCCCTCAAGCCCTAAAGCCCTCAAGCCCTTAAGCACTCAAGCCCTCAAGCCTTCAAGCCTTCAAGCCTTCAAGCCTTGAAGCCTTCAAGTCCTCAAGCCCTCAAGCCCTCAAGCCTTCAAGCCCTCAAGCCCTCAATCCTTCAAGCCTTCAAGCCTTCAAGCCTTCAAGCCCTCAAGCCTTCAAGCCCTCAAGCCTTCAAGCCCTCAAGCCCTCAAGCCCTCAAGCCTTCAAGCCTTCAAGCCCTCAAGCCCTCAAGCCCTCAAGCCCTCAAGCCCTCAAGCCTTCAAGCCCTCAAGCCTTCAAGCCTTCAAGCCCTCAAGGCCCCATTCTCCCGCTTTCCATCACCCCGCCCCATTCTCCCGCTTTCCATCACCGCGCCCCATTCTCCCGCTTTCTATCACCCCGCTCCATTCTCCCGCTTTCCATCAACCCGCCCCATTCTCCCGCTTTCTATCACCCCGCCCCATTTCTCCCTCTTTCCTTCACCCCGCCCCATTCTCCCGCTTCCCATCACCCCGTCCCATTCTCCCTCTTCCCATCACCCCGCCCCATTCTCCCGCTTTCGATCACCCCACCCCATTCTCCCGCTTTTTGTCACCCCGCCCCATTCTCCCGCTTTCCTTCACCCCGCCCCATTCCCTGGCTTCCCATCACCCTGCCCCATTCTCCCTCTTCCCATCACCCCGCCCCATTCTCCCGCTTTCCATCACCCCGCCCCATTCTCCCGCTTTCCATCACCGCGCCCCATTCTCCCCCATCACCCCACCCCATTCTCCTGCTTTCCATCACCCCGCCCCATTCTACCTCTTTCCATCACCCTGCCCCATTCTCCCGCTTTCCATCACCCTGCCCCATTCTCCCGCTTTCCATCACCCCGCCCCATTCTCCCTCTTTCCATCATCCCGGCCCATTCTCTCGCTTTCCATCACCCCGCCCCATTCTCCCTCTTTTCAACACCCCGCCTTATTCTCCCTCTTTCCATCACCCCGCCCCATTCACCCGCTTTCCATCACCCCGCCCCATTCTCCCGCTTTCTATCACCCCGCTCCATTCTCCCGCTTTCCATCACCTCGCCCCATTCTCCCGCTTTCCATTACCCCGCCCTATTCTCCCGCTTTCCATCAACCCGCCCATTCTCCTGCTTTCCATCACCCCGCCCCATTCTCCCGCTTTCCATCACCCCGCCCCATTCTCCCGCTTTCCATCACCCCGCCCCATTCTCCCTCTTTCCATCACCCCGCCCCATTCTCCCTCTTTCCTTCTCCCCGCCCCATTCTCCCGCTTCCCATCACCCCGCCCCGTTCTCCCTCTTCCCATCACCCCGCCCCATTCTCCTGCTTTCGATCACCCCGCCCAATTCTCCCGCTTTCCATCACCCCGCCCTATTCTCCCACTTTCCTTCACCCCGCCCCATTCCCCCGCTTCCCATCACCCCGGCCCATTCGCCCTCTTCCCATCACCCAGCCTCATTTTCCCGCTTTCCATCACCCCGCCCCATTCTCCTGCTTTCCATCACCCCGCCCCATTCTCCCTCTTTCCATCACCCCACCTCATTCTCCTGCTTTCCATCACCCCACCCCATTCTCCCTCTTTCCATCACCCCGCCCCATTCTCCCGCTTTCCATCACCCCGCCCAGTTCTCCCGCTTTCCATCTCCCCGCCCCATTCTCCCGCTTTCCATCACCCCGCCCAATTCTCCCGCTTTCCATCACCCCACCCCATTCTCCCGCTTTCCATCACCCCGCCCCATTCTCCCGCTTTCCATCACCCCGCCCCATTCTCCCACTTTCCATCACCCCGCCCCATTCTCCTGCTTTCCATCACCCCGCCCCATTCTCCCTCTTTCCATCACCCCACCCCATTCTCCTACTTTCCATCACCCCGCCCCATTCTCCCTCTTTCCATCACCCGCCCCATTCTCCCGCTTTCCATCACCCCGCCCCATTCCCCCGCTTTCCATCACCCCGCTCCATTCTCCCGCTTTCCATCCCCGCCCCATTCTTCCTCTTTCCATCACCCCGCCCCATTCTCCCGCTTTCCATCACCCCGCCCCATTCTCCCGCTTTCCATCACCCCGTCCCATTCTCCCGCTTTCCATCACCCCGCCCCATTCTCCCGCTTTCCGTCACCCCGCCCCATTCTCCCGCTTTCCATCACCCCGCCCCATTCTCCCACTTTCCATCACCCCGCCCCATTCTCCCGCTTTCCATCACCCCGCCCCATTCTCCCGCTCTCCATCACCCCGCCCCATTCTCCCGCTCTCCATCACCTTGCCCCATTCTCCCGCTTTCCATCATCCCGCCCCATTCTCCCGCTTTCCATCATCCCGCCCCATTCTCCCTCCTCCCATCACGTCGCCCCATTCTCCCGCTTTCCATCACCCCGCCTCATTCTCCTGCTTTCCATCACCCCGCCCCATTCTCTCGCTTTCCATCACCCCGCCCCATTCTCCCGCTTTCCATCACCCTGCCCCATTCTCCCGCTTTCCATCACCCCACCCCATTCTCCCGCTTTCCATCACCCCGCCCCATTCTCCCGCTTTCCATCACCCCGCCCCATTCTCTCGCTTTCCATCACCCGCCCCATTCTCCCACTTTCCATCACCCCGACCCATTCTCCCTCCTTCCATCACCACGCCCCATTCTCCCGCTTTCCATCGCCCCACCCCATTCTCCCACTTTGCATCACCCCGCCCCATTCTCCCGCTTTCCATCACCCCGACCCATTCTCCCGCTTTCCATCACCCTGCCTCATTCTCCCGCTTTCCATCACCCCGCCCCATTCTCCCGCTTTCCATCACCCCGCCCCATTCTCCCGCTTCCCATCACCCCGCCCCATTCTCCCGCTTTCCATCACCCTGCCCCATTCTCCCTCCTTCAATCACCCCGCCCCATTCTCCCTCCTTCCATCACCCCGCCCCATTCTCCCGCTTTCCATCACCCCGCCCCATTCTCCCGCTTCCCATAACCCCACCCCATTCTCCCGCTTTCCATCACCCCGCCACATTCTCCCGCTTTCTATCACCCCGCCCCATTCTCCCTCCTTCCATCACCCCGCCCCATTCTCCCGCTTTCCATCACCCCGCCCCATTCTCCCGCTTTCCATCACCCCGCCACATTCTCCCACTTTCCATCACCCCGCCCCCTTCTCTCTCCTTCCATCACCCCGCCCCATTCTCCCTCCTTCCATCACCCCGCCCCATTCTCCCGCTTTTCATCAGCCCGCCCCATTCTCCCGCTTTCCATCACCCCGCCCCATTCTCCCGCTTTCCATCTCCCCGCCCCATTCTCCCGCTTTCCATCACCCCGCCCCATTCTCCCGCTTTCCATCACCCCGCCCCATTCTTCCGCTTCCCATCATCCCGCCCCATTCCCCCGCTTTCCATCACCCCTTCCCATTCTCCCTCCTTCCATCACCCCGCCCCATTCTCTTGATTTCCATCACCCCGCCCCATTCTCCCGCTTTCCATCACCCCGCCCCATTCTCCCGCTTTCCATCACCCCGCCCCATTCTCCCGCCTTCCATCACCCCGCCCCATTCTCCCTCCTTCCATCACTCCGCCCCATTCTCCCGCTTTCCATCAGCCCGCCCCATTCTCCCGCTTTCCATCACCCCGCCCCTTTCTCCCGCTTTCCATCTCTCGCCCCATTCTCCCGCTTTCCATCACCCCGCCCCAATCTTCCGCTTCCCATCATCCCGCCCCATTCCCCCGCTTTCCATCACCCCTCCCCATTCTCCCTCCTTCCATCACCCCGCCCCATTCTCCCACTTTCCATCACCTCGCCCCATTCTCCCGCTTTCCATCACCCCGCCCCATTCTCCCGCTTTCCATCACCCCGCCCCATTCTCCCGCTTTCCATCACCCCGCCCCATTCACCCGCTTTCCATCACCCGCCCCATTCTCCCGCTTTCCATCACCCCGCCCCATTCTCCCGCTTTCCATCACCCCGCCCCATTCTCCCGCTTTTCATCACCCCGCCCCATTCTCCCGCTTTCCAACACCCCAGCCCATTCTCTCGCTTTCCATCACCCCGCCCCCTTCTTCCTCCTTCCATCACCCGCCCCATTCTCCCGCTTTCCATCACCCCGCCCCATTCTTCCGCTTCCCATCATCCCGCCCCATTCCCCCGCTTTCCATCACCCCTCCCCATTCTCCCTCCTTCCATCACCCCGCCCCATTCTCCCACTTTCCATCACCCGCCCCATTCTCCCGCTTTCCATCACCCTGCCCCATTCACCCGCTTTCCATCACCCGCCCCATTCTCCCGCTTTCCATCACCCCGCCCCATTCTCCCGCTTTCCATCACCCCGCCCCATTCTCCCACTTTTCATCACCCCGCCCCATTCTCCCGCTTTCCAACACCCCAGCCCATTCTCTCGCTTTCCATCACCCCGCCCCCTTCTTCCTCCTTCCATCACCCCGCCCCATTCTCCCTCCTTCCTTCACCCCGCCCCATTCTCCCGCTTTCCATCACCCCGCCCCATTCTCCCGCTTTCCATCACCCCGCCCCATTCTCCCGCTTTTCCATCACCCCGCCCCATTCTCCCTCCTTCCATCACCCCGCCCCATTCTCCCGCTTTCCATCACCCCGCCCCATTCTCCAGCTTTCCATCACCCCTCCCCATTCTCCCTCCTTCCATCACCCCGCCCCATTCTCCCACTTTCCATCACCTCGCCCCATTCTTCCGCTTTCCATCACCCCGCCCCATTCTCCCGCTTCCCATCATCGCGCCCCATTCTCCCGCTTTCCATCACCCCGCCCCATTCTCCCTCCTTCCATCACCCCGCCCCATTCTCCCGCTTTCCATCACCCCGCCCCATTCTCCCGCTTTCCATCACCCTGCCCCCTTCTCCCTCCTTCCATCACCCCGCGCCATTCTCCCTCCTTCCATCACCCCGCCCCATTCTCCTGCTTTCCGTCAGCCCGCCCCATTCTCCCGCTTTCCATCACCCCGTCCCTTTCTCCCGCTTTCCATCTCCCTGCCCCATTCTCCCGCTTTCCATCACCCCGCCCCATTCTCCCGCTTTCCATCACCCCGCACCATTCTCCAGCTTCCCATCATCCCGCCTCATTCCCCCGCTTTCCATCAGCCCTCCCCATTCTCCCTCCTTCCATCACCCCGCCCCATTCTCCCGCTTTCCATCACCCCGCCCCATTCTCCCTCCTTCCATCACCCCGCCCCATTCTCCCGCCTTCCATCACCCCGCCCCATTCTCCCTCCTTCCATCACCCCTGAGAAGATAACTACTACAACGGGAGCTTAGAGTGCTGGCTAGGCACGTGTGCTCGTGTGATGTCTGCGTTCGTTGGTCCTTAGACGTTTTCCTAGTGCTCACACTGCTTGCTAGTTCACGGGGCAATTTTGGCAAGAGTTTCACTAGAGAAAGTTGTCAATGATGGTACAATGAAGTTGGCAATGCAAGACTACATCAGAGCTAGCATTCAGGTTGGTCGACTGCCAGCACAGCATGGTCGACTGCCAGCACAGCATGGTCGACCGCGTTCCAGCACGACTTGGTCGACCACGCTACAGCAGTGCAAAGTCGACAGCTTGCCAACGCTGCAGGTTGACGGTGTGCCAGCATTGCTCACGCAGGACAGCAGTGCACCCGCTTTGCAGGTGCGCGCAGATGATTGGCATGCAAAGTCTCGTCACCTGCACAGCGCATACACCACGTCAACCTCGGGCTAGCGACTGCCTCTGATCCGCCACGACGACCTCGGGATACCACCATGGAGGTCGGTCTCACCAACTTCGCTTGGGTGACCGTCGCACTCCTTCGCAGAACCTCGTCACCCATGTATCCTGGTCGACCGGGCAACTATGTCGACCAGCTGCTCCTGTATGTGCTCGTCGACCTCCCAAGTCGACAACCACACCAGGTCGACCTCACCAGGTCGACCACTCCTCCGGTCGACCAGATCCAGGTCGACGTCACTCTTGGTCGACCAGTGCAGTTGTCAGCTACCCAAGTCGGCGTCACCAGGTCGACGCCCCTTCTACGTCGGCGCCGACTTCCAGACTGACCTCTTGAAGTTGGCGACCTCCCAAGTCGGCGGTATTGCAGTGGCGCCGTGCAAGTCGACCAACCCCGTCGACCAGCTCGTCCAAGTCGGCGTCGCCCACTGCTGCAAGTTGGCTGTACCTTCCGTACACCCCACCACGAAGTCGGCTCCGCCCAAGCGTGGACGGGGCCAACACACAACTCCCGTTGACACTCCCCTGCCGCGCTCACGCTTGGCCCCCCCAAGTCCACTCGGCAGTACTCCTCGGAGAATAGCTCGTCGACGTGCACCCAACACACAGCACGTCGTCCACCGCACCAGCCATGCAAGAGGGCATGGCACCTACTGCTGCACGTTGTCATCTTTGTCGCCCACGTCGGCCAAGCGCACCTGGCCGATGGCGACGGAGCACCGGTTGAAGGCCGGATAGTGCAGCGCCTTCGTCAGGAAGTCGGCCGGCTGCTCAGCGGTCGGGATGTACCTCAGCGAGAACTTCCCGCGCTTCACCATGTGCTGCAGCCAGGCCTGTCGCCGCTCCATGTGCTTGAGGTTGCCCGTCAACCCCATGCCCTCGACGACTGTGATGGCCGACTTGTTGTCCACCCGAAGGACGGTCGGCTTCCCGGCATCCAGCTGTCGGAACTCTGCAAGGAGGAAGCGAAGTCGGCGTCCTTCCTTGCCAGCTTCGGTGGCTGCCACGTACTCCGACTCAGTCGATGACAACGTCGCACACTTGATGCGCTGGCTCGACCAGGAGACTGCGGCCCCTCCATAGACGAACACGTAGCCACCCGTGCTCGTCCTGTTCTGCTTGTCACCGGCGTCGTCGGCGTCCACGTAGCCGACCAGCTCCAGCGACTCAGGTCCACCGCCGAACTCCAGTGCGGTGTCGCGCGTATTGGCGAGGTAGGCGAGGCAGCGGTCGACCTCGCGCCAGTGCTGGTCGCTCCTCACCGTGAGGCCGCTCCCCAGCTTGCTGCAGGCGAAGGCGATGTCCGGCCTCGTCGTCGTCGCCGCGAACTGCATCGAGCCGACCTTCTGCCGGTACTCCTCTTCCTGCCGCTCCTGTGCCTCCTCGTCATCGAACGTGAGCTCGGCGTAGGCATCGACCGAGACCGGCGTCTTCGGGGTGCGCCCGGTCTGCTCCTCGTCGATGAAGCGCCTACGAAGCTTGTCGGCGTAGCCCTGCTGGTGCAGCCACAGCTTCCCCGCCGACCTGTCGCGGACGATCTCCAGCCCGAGGTACTTCTGCACCGGCGAGATCTCACGCAGCTCGAAGGCGGCTTCCAGAAGCTCCTTCAGCTCCTTCAACATCGCGGCGCTACTGCTGGCGGCAAGTAGGTCGTCGACGTAGACCAGCACCCAGCAGGCCACTCCGTCCTTTCCGTCCTTGAAGTAGAGAGCCTCGTCGACCTGGCTCTTCTTCCACCCGGCGCCGACCAGCACGTCATTGAGCGCCAAGTACCATAGCAGCGGCGACTTCTTTAGCCCGTACAGGCTCTTCAGCAGCTTGCACACCCGGCCGGTCCCGTCGTTGAAGTAGTCCGGCTGGGACATGTAGAGCACCCTGTCGAGCTTGCTCTGCAAGAAGGCGTTCTTCATGTCGAGCTGCATCAGGTTGAGGTTGCGGACGGCGACGATGCTGAGGAAGATCCTCAGCGTGACGTAGCTGCCCACCGGCGCGAACGTCTCGTCGTAGTCGGCGCCGTACACCTGCGTGAAGCCCTTCACAACCAGCCTCGCCTTCTCGCGCTCGACGGTGTCGTCGACGTGGTACTTCGTCGTCAACACCCACCGGTTCTTCATGACGTTCACTCCCGGCGGACGTTCGACCAACTCCCACGTTCCCATGTTGAGGAGGCTGCGAATCTCCTCCTCCATGGCGGCCTTCACCGCCGGGCCCTTCCAGCTCGCCAACGCCTCCTTCACCGTCATCGTCGAGATGTCCCAACGGTGCTCGGGGTCGGCTAGCATGTCGGGGTCGAGCTCTGGAAACTCCTCATCCTCCTCGGCATCGTCGTACAGCAGGTCGTCGGCCTCATCGTCCACGTCGTACACCGTGGTGAAGGCAGCGGGGACGAAGAAGTCAGGCGGTCTCCGAAGTCGGCCTGAACGCCGTGGTCCTGGCTGGACCTCCTCGGCGTCCCCTCCAACGTTGCTGTTGTCGCTGCCCTCGGCGTCCTGCTGCTCCTCAGCCGGCGTCCCAGCCGACTTCTCCCCTATGGTCGGCTCCCCTGCCGACTGCCCGGTCGCCGACTGCTCCTTGGTCGACGTCACTGCTGCCTGCTCCTTTGTCGGCCGCTGGTCCTCGACCTGCTTCTCGACCTGCTCCTCCCCTGTCGACGTCGACTGCAATCCCACGTCGACCCGCCGCTCGTCACGTCGGCCACCGGCGATGCACTTGGCCGAAGGCGACGTCCCACTACTCCCCTCATCGCCGGAGGCCGACACCGTGGTCAGCTCACGCAGGTCGGCCACGAGGGGAGGGGCAGGGGTCGGAGGGGGAGGGGTAGGGCGGACGTCCTCGACGTCCGTAATAGCAAGCTCACCGACCTCGGCAAGCAGTGGCAGCGTCGCCGACGAGGTGTCAGAGGGCGGGGTGGGCGACGAGCGGCCGGACACCAACCCGTACTCCGTCTTCCACTCGGCCAGCGACAGCTCCTCGTAGAACACCACATCCGACGTGGTGACCACCCGGTCGGCGTCGACGTCGAGGAGCTCCCAGCCCTTGCTCGCCGCCGACACGCCAAGGTGCAGGCCCCACCTGGCCTTCGGCTGCAGCTTCCCACCACGCTGCTGCTCGGCTACTAAGAATTGCGCCATGCAGCCCCACACCCGCGCCAGCGACAAGTCGGGCTTCTTCCCGGTCAGCAGTTGGTACGGCGTCGTCCCCGGCGGCAGCGCCGACCTCTCAAGGCAGTTGCGGACCCAGACGGCCTGCCGGAGAGCGAGGTGCCACCAGTGGTGCTGCACGCCCATGTGCAGCAGCATTGTCCGCACCGACTCCACCACCGTCCTCATCTCCCGCTCCGCCATGCCGTTCTGCTGCGGGGTGTATGGGCAGGTCAGGTCGTGGACGATCCCCTTGCCGTTCACGAAGTCGGTGAACTGCTTCCTGAGGAACTCCCCTCCCCGGTCAGAGCGCAGCATTAACACCGACCTCTTCGTCTGCCGCTCAGCCACTGCCAGCCACTGCACGAACGCCGGCAACGCATCTGACTTCTTGGTGACTGGCTTCACCCACACGTAGCGGGTCTTGCGGTCCTTCAGCAATAAGAAGTACAGGCTGCCATCCTTGGCAGCCACGAGGAATGGCCCGCACAGGTCGATGTGCACGACGGCCAGCACATCGTCGGCGTCGGAGCCTTGGTCGGGGAAGGTGTGCCGCGCCAGCTTCCCGCCGACGCACGAGACACACGGAGAGTCGGCGCCCGTCGCCGACTTGGGGTCCAGCCCAATGGCGACCTCGTTCTTCGCCGAGCTCCGTATGGTGTCCATGCCGACATGTGCAAGCCGGGCATGCATACGGTCCGGCGTCGACTTCGTCTTCGAGACGATCGCCCGCAGAGCCACAACCTCCGTCGTGGGCGACGTCGACCTCGTTGAGCAGGGACGCAGGTCGGTGCAGAGGACACGCCCGGAGTACGTCGCCCGACCGAGCACCTCTCCCGTTGCCGAGACGAGCACCATCCCGTCGCCGTCCTCTTGCAGCTTTACGCCGTGCTCCTTAAGCTGGCCGGACGACAGCAAGTTCGCCCGCACACCCGGGACGTACAGCACGTCGGGGATGAGCACCTGCTTCCCGGCCTCCCCTTGCAGGGCGACGGTGCCGCGGCCCTGGACATCCTGCAGCGCCCCATTGAAGCCGCGCACGTGCTTGATGGAGCCACTCGGCTGCAGGTCAACGAAGGCTTCCTTCGTTCCCATCAGGTGGTGGGAGCAACCGCTGTCGAGCAGGACCACCGCCGGGTTCGCCTGCACAGCCGCCGCCACCGCCTGGAAGTCCTCTCCGGCCTCCGGCTCCAGAGAGATGGTCGGCTCCACGACGCCGACCAGCGAGCACGACGCCATTTTGTCGTCTCGCCCCTTGCCGCCTGCAACGGAGTCGGCGTCCTTCGCCGAAGTCGATGCCTTGGTCGACTGTTTCTCCTTGCGCGGATGATTTCCTCCACGATGAGGACGACGGCTGCCAGACCTCCCGCGGCCGCCCTTGTCGTCGTCGTCGGAGTCACTGCGGTCGGGACAATCGAAGGAGAGG